TGGTGACTTTTTTGCATTGGAAGCGGCAAGGAAAACATTGATGTGAATAATTTGTAGAGAAAAAAAAGGACAAATGGACCAGTGCCAATGTTTGGTCAATATTTGAAAAAAGGTACTTAAGCATCTACCCTTGTTCTGGTCGCATTAAGGATAGAAAAAACCATTCATGTTTCATGTTATGCATACTTCTTCCCCTGCCTAGGTACTTAAGCATCTACCTTTGTTCTGGTCGCATTAAGGATAGAAAAAAACCATTCATGTTTCATGTTATGCATACTTCTTCCCCTGCCTAGCTATTCAGTTCCTACGCCCCCCCAACACAGCGGCCTCCACATTTTATTCAGTATACATTAAAAGATATTGCACACATTTCTTGCTATATGCCCCATGAATTTTGCTTGTTTAATTTATCACAGCAAAATTAAGTTTCTCAAGGTTGATATATGGGACCCACAATTAGTATGAAAGTCTCTTTCCATTGCATACATGTTTTTGTATGTGCACGCTTGCTCATCTTCTAATTATGATAAGCATAGTTCATAAGTCCTTTGTGCAGGTAGAAGTTTGGCGAATGAGTAGCAATTGAAGAAAAAGAAAACCAACACGAACAAGTGAAGGAAAGATTATAACAATACCGAGGGAAAAAAGGAGGAAAACAATAAGCGCATATAAATCCTTCTCTTTTGAACTTAATATACATGGAAAGGAAAATTTTGGCTGCATAATATGTGCACAATGATCAGAAACTCACCTCTCTTCCTATTATGGCAATTGATGGTACAGTTAGTAGCCATGGCACTGGTCCAACCGTAGCAACTTCTAAAGGTCTGCTACACAACAAGACCAAGGTGGCAGCCACCATAAGCTACATCAATTAAGTAAGATGATCAGATAAAAAAAATTTTAAGTCTACAAGTGAAATGTACACTAGTAAACCGCTTTACCCTTACCAAGGTCATAGTAACATTCTTAACTCGGAACAGTTCAAACTAGAGACTCAAAAGTTATTGAAGTAAAGGAGAATCTACCTTGTCAGCCACTGGATCTAAAAATGCACCAAATGCAGTTCCTAACTTCATCTGGAACATAATGAAGCATGTCGAGTTGATAAGTTAAGTCAGAAAAATAAAACAGGAAGTACCACCAGATGCTTGAAAAACAGAGACACTGTTTACCTTTCGAGCAAGATACCCATCAAGCCAGTCTGTAATTGCTGCAGCAATGAATATACCTGTTGTTGCAGTGGTTCCCCACCAGCTATCTACATAAAAGGCTAATAAAGACAAAAATATTTTGTTAGTCACATCTCACCAACGAACATATTGCAGCACCCAATATAATAGAGAGATGCTTGAGCAAGTTAGAGATTGTTTAATGTTCTATCATGCCAGGCACCTAGTTCAGATAAACATGATTGACAACAGTCGGAACTTGGGAAGTAGGGAGTCTACATACAAGGCCATTGGCCACAAACACATTAGTCATGATCCAATACACTTACCTTATGCATCATAAGGAGATTGTGAATACACAATCTTTGTCCATAGAATGTGGCATATTTGCAGAGTTTCATGTATGAGAAAGGTTTCATGTTTCAAACTTTCAGATAAAACAACAAGGTAGATAAGCAAAAACATGGGCATGAATTACCATAAGAAACAAACTTCACATATTCTAACCCGAAACCCAACAGAGCATCTAGAGCACTTCTATTACAATTTGATCACAAGAAACATAAATCAAATCATAGTTCAAAGCAATGCTATAATAAAAGTGCACTTGAAGTTATACAACTAAAAATTGAAATAAAAATCCACGTACTTGATCCAAATGAACATTGAAACTTTCAGACGGATCAAATCATAGTAACAATATCAGTAACAACCAAACATATTTCGAAAGTTCCCAAACATTTTCTATTTTCTTGGAGATTATATCGATAGTGCTGACTTCTTCCTCGAGGAACTCAAAGGAACATTAAATAATGTTTTTTTTCCACTCAAATTGAAGCAAACTTACATCGATTTATACTAAAAATCCAATATTTTTTCGGGAAGTAAAATTTCCCGTGAAAACAAACTGAATCAAAACAACTGCTCAGAAAATCATAACCAAATAATCAAACTTACTACTAACGAGAAGCGGAACGGCAGCTACACGGCCAATTGTCAAGATCGTGGGCAATGTGAGCAATTTGGCAGCCTGTGGTTGCTTTGATGGGGATGTAGGTAGCGGCGGTGCTTTGGGGCGGCGGTGGTGGTGGTTCTGCGACGGCGATGTTGACGTGGACAAGGCGTCATTCTTGTACCACTTTTCGTCTTTGTTTTCGGAACCCATTTCAGACACAACCCCTCCTTTGTCTTCGGAGGAACAAAAATATTTCTGACCGCGAAACCCTAGCTTTCTATATAAAACCTTATCGTGAGCCAGAGGGAGGATGGGTGCGCACGGGCTTACCCTCCACCCGCGTGTCCAGGCCGCCGAATATTTTGGGGTTTGGCCTATTGTGGTGGGGTAACTGGTGGTTGTAATAGTGGCGGTGGTGATTGGGGTGGTGGTCGTCATTGTGCGGACCCACTTATTGAGCTTGTTGGGTTTGCCGTACATGGAAGCGACTACGGTGAGTTTGAGGGCTGGCATGGTGGGAATTACGCACTGTGGCTAAGGTTAGCAGGAGTTTGAGCGAGCTCATGTTAGCAGAAATCCCTCTCTCTCTCTCTCTCTCCTCTGCTAAATCTCCCCTGTACTTTTGTTCACTTGTACTTCAAAGTCATATGGATCAAATTATATTTAGAGTGAGTTGTATATTGTACCACTGAAATTTAAAAATTTATACTTTATATTTTTAAGAATTAAATTTTTTTATATTATACCCTTAATATATTCAAAATATTATAATATGATAATTTAGTTAGTTTTCATTATTCATTTTGTCAACATCAAAATGGTGGTTTTTGATAGAATAAACCAAGGGAGTTAACAGAAGCATCGTATTGAAACACTTTTGATATATTAAGGGTATAATATGAAAATTTTAATTTTTGAAAATATAAAATAAGAAATTTTAAATCTTTTAGGGTATGAAGTGTGATTCTCCCTTATATTTAATATACCAGTTCAAAAAAAAAAAGTATATACGAGTTCAAAAAAAAAAGTTAATATTTTATATGATTTGCACTAGGAAATTAAAATTATATTTTTTTAAGGAAAAGTTACAATTAATAAATCATTAACATCTCTAATTAATTGTAACTTGATTTTTTAAAAATTATAATTTTTATAATCTATCATAATATTTAGGATCGATCATGTATAATCTCAACATTTTAAAGTTAATATTACCCTTTTTTCTTACAATTAGACCCGAAAGAATTATATGTTATCGCATAAAAAAAATACAAATTTTAATACATTTTTTGGTACCCAATTCTAATCCTTAAGTGTGAGTGATGAAACACAAAAGTACACAAGATAGACTGTGTTTTGTTAAATGAAATTCGTCGCAACTTACTAAACATATAATTTTTTAGAATTATATTATAGCCGTTGAGATTCAAGTTACAATTTTTCATGAGGTTAGTGTTCCAAACTGATCATAAAAGATTAAGTACAAATTTTATTCAAACCCCTAATTATTAAGGTAAAATTTAGTTTAAATCCTAACAAATTTTAGCTGGTTCAATTTTAACATTGTTGGATGGTAGACTTTAGTATAACGATAAAATTGATCTATTATAACATAGATATTAAAAATTCGAACCCGTGATCCGTGACTTAATAGTCCAACGGTAGACTACAGTGGCCATTAGCCAACCGCTGATCCTCAAATTGAAAATAGTTTAATCTATGGGTGATTTCACCCACCCCATTCAGATTAAAGTGACAGTAGCATTTATACAGCATGGATTTAGAACCATGCATTGCAGGTGTGCTTATAGGCATAGAGTAGTCCAAAGCTCGAAATAAACAAAATCAAATGTACACAATCCTACCCCAGATATCTTCCACATTTGAAACATTAATGCCGTCACTATACCTAGAACAGGTTCTAATAGAAGTCTAAAGAGAAGCTACACAATCAAAGCTGCAATAACTCAAATAATGAGAATTTTTCTCTTTATAAAGGGGCAATAAGTACAAGACTTGATGTCCAAAAAAATGTAAGAGCCTCAATTTTACATACTATCAGAAGAAAGGAGAAAAGAGTCAGGTGAACAGTGAGAGCAAAGAAATTTTCAGATTTATATATATAAAAATACTTCCCAGTGACATAAACAGTAATATGAGTGTTTAACCTGTTATCTGGAGTGATGTAAAATTTGATAAGCAGGCACCACTTCATGTGCAGCAAACAACCATAAAGCAATCTTCATGGCCACTAGATGATTCACACATCCCTATTTAGATAAAATCATCTTGATGTAGCACGGCTAGCAAAGTGATGGCAATCTAATCATGGGCTTCCAAGTTTAAAAGGTCTTAGAATAATCATCTGCATCGATCTTTCTTACCCAGACTGTCATTTTTACTGTTCCCTTCGGGTTCTAGGTGTTGAAGCACCTGACCGGATGCTTTGGACTGGCTGGGTTGCAGGATCGTATTTCTGGGAAGCAAGATAGCTTAGGGCTGTAACTACATCTGCTACAAGAGGCCGCATGTTAGGTTGCTCCTGAACACACATCGCCGCAACAGCAAGAGCTTGGTACAACCCTCTCACTGGATATTGGCCCTGGAGCATCGGGTCAGCCATCTGTGAAAACTTCCTACGGTCTTTGAACAAGGGTCGAGCCTGCAATAATTGGACAACTTTTAAAAAAATCCAAATGCAGCAATTTCTAAGCAACAACAGACTAAGCTTCACTTCATTATTGTAAAATGTGTCTTACAGTAGAGTAAAAATTGAGTCCATATCATTGTTATTATCAGAATAAGCATTGTGCTGGTGGAACATTTTTCAATGTTGCTCCTCCAATATACCTAGTGCAACATATGGTTAAATTGGCAATGAGAAGGATCTTATAACAAATCAATGCTTTTTCTCAAACCATCAAAAGCTTCCCAAACAAGGGGTAATCCTTTAACGTATCAACGTAATCCTCGATTAGCCTTTGTTAAAGCATCAGTCAGATATTAAAGTCAACCTCAACTGCCAAACCTGTTTCAACTTTTTTGAAGTTTTTAGGCAGTGATCATCTTTCTACAGTTAGCAGATGAAAAAACATTATTAGGGATTTACCTGAAGAAACTAGTCTTAACCAGGGAAATCCATTTATAATCTACAAGAGCAGCTTATGACAAAATTAAACCACACACAGAACTAACCTTCAGGGACTAGGTAACAGTGTCAAGTGCAGGTATGTGTTTCGGTGTCAAATACAGATTTCAAATTCTATTAATTTTAAGTGGTTGGTATACACCAACACATCGGCATTATCTTGTGTCGTGTTGACTTGGGTTTGGTTTCGGTAGAGAGTGTCTCAGACAACAAAGAAGGCTAGTAATTAACCAAACAACAAAGCAGCACTGAGGAAACTGTTAAAAGTTGTTGCTAAAAAACTAATGAAACAATTCGATTTTTCTCTTCAAGTTTAATTGGTACAGTAATTGGTAATGCAACTATAATGTTAGCATACATCCCTGAATTGGTGGGCAATTCACTATTTGAATAAGCATTTGGCCATGAAACTGACAAAGAATTGTGCCCACAAGTTCCTTGGAGTTACGAGATTAGATTCTGTATGCTTTTGGGATGCATGGAAACACAATCTATTTATATGACAAAAGAAGGCAAGCAGCACTTCGAAACTAATGTCAATGAGAAAATTTGAACAACTAAAACAAGTCTCTTACCCATCCAACCAAATTGCTCTCCGCTGCAGCTCTTGAATTGTCAATAGCTTTTCTGCCAGTAATAATTTCCAGAAGAACAACCCCAAAACTATACACATCTGACTTCAAAGTAAGCTGACCTGTCATTGCATATTCCGGTGCGCAGTATCCATAGGTCCCCATTACCCTAGTGGATACATGGGTATTATCACCAACAGGGCCCAATTTAGCCAAACCAAAATCGGACAGCTTGGGATTATACCCTTCATCAAGTAAAATGTTTGCACATTTTAAGTCACGATAAATCACTGGGGGGCTTGCTTTGTCATGCAAATACTCCAAGCCCTTTGCAGCACCAGCAGCTATCTTCATTCTGGTGTTCCAGTCAAGTCGTTTTTTATCAGGTGGAAGGTCTGGAATACGAAGCAAGAATCCAATCCTTTGTCATTAGATGCTAGATAAGAGGTACATAAAGCTACCACAGGGAAAAGCAAGCATCTAGCACTTGACCCTTGGACCGAATGCATAAGATGTTGGGCAACATAAGATGAGACTGATCCTGAATCAGATGATTATCATCCTTGTTTTCTTCGCTTTTCTATCTTTTTCTTATTAATTCTGATTTTTTTTTGTCGAGGGAGGGAGTGCTTGGTGTTCTGGGCCATCAAAATCTCTTAATACTAAATATTTTGGTTTTGAGTTATAACCTGCAAACCATTTTTGGAGGCCTCACTTCTAGCATGCAATGCATTAAATAATCGAGTCTCTTATTAGCACATACCAAGTAGATGGTCTTCCAATGATCCTAATGGCATGTATTCGTAAACCAGAAGTCTCTGATCTCCATCAGCACAATATCCAATCAAGTTCACCAAGTTTGGATGATGAAGCAGGCTTAACATCAGCACTTCAACAAGGAATTCCCTGTTCCCTTGCAAGCCATTACGATCAAGCTGCTTAATAGCCACAACCTAACAAGAAAATAAGAAGGAAAGAGCTCAGATATCACCATACACACCATTCATGTATGGTAAAACAACAATGAATCTTAGCACACAGAATATCAATTATGTAGTCCCATAAAGTGGGAAAGGAATACCACCAATCGTTAACCAAGATGAACATAAGCATACTAAAAAAAAAGGATCTTTAGTGTTTATTTGAACCAAGAGTAAAAACAGGGTTTAGCAAGAAATCTTTCCCGTAGACATCCAGTCACATGTATGCAATCAGACATTTTAAAGGTTCAAGGCAAGGCAGTCTTTCAGAAAATTATTAAAGAGTTAATGAGGTATGCTATTCAATTAAATTCTATAATGAAGTAGTTCAAAAGGTTTAACTATATATTAAATTCCATCCAAGTGGTGGCCGAAGGAGACTAGACTCAAAATCATTATTCTTTCCCTTTCTTCAGTAGAATCCCAGAAACCAAACACCTACTTTTTGCTCCGTCCATGAAGCGTATAAATTTTATGGAATGTAGATAGACCAAAAGAGGTAATGAAGAGATAGGAATAGGAATTATAGTACCATTGGAAGGGGCACCTGTGGGAACTTCTCTCCTGATGAACTATTTCAATAGTACAGGTGTTTTTGTGCCACGAGACAAGACCATGGACGTAATGAAAAATAAAAATTTATGTAGTCAGACAATTTGTTCTACCCGTTCGTGTTTTGCTTCTCCAGAGAAGATGAGATGCTAAAAATTAAAGTGTTTGCAATACACATTAAAACGGGTATTAATTAAGTTGACCATTAATGACTAGTTCGAACCAAGAGCAGTCTGATCCCTTAATTTGATCAAATTTCTTCTCTTGGCAAAACTCTTACAAAGTTACAAGTTTGCTCTTTCTTAAGACAATACATTATTACAGAACTGATCCCCAGCCAGTGCATTTCTTCCTACAACATTAACTCATTAAGACATATCTTGTTCAACTCCAAGCAATAGTTACAGAGATTTTCACCATTGTCTTGCTCAACAAAGAAAATGTGTGAGTAAACCAGGGTTGTCCTTACGAAACCACATGTATTGGTCTGAAATCAAGAAAAGTAACAAGTTTATTTGAAGTTTTATATAGTTGAACATCTGAGTGACATAACGTACCTGATTGGTGCTTTCCAATCGCCCTTTATATACTCTGCCAAAACCTCCTTCACCCAAAAGACAGTCTGCCCTGAAATTTTTAGTGGCTGCAGCCAATTCACGAAATGTAAAAATGTGTGCTGCAATATGACCAGATCCTCCATCCTTAGAAGCTTCCTTCTTTACGTCCAGGGAAGGATTTACCTTGAATCTATCTGAATCACAAAAAAAAAATAATAATAATATGAATGAGTCTGCAATTAATTGTCAAAGGTGGGTTCCATCTGCTTCTCATGGGAGTCACAAAGGATTACCAACACAAGCAAAAATACTCTAACGCATGACTTAAGTCTGGATTCTTCCGATCACACAAAATATTCGCAACTTGTCCGATTAGTATTACCATATACTTCTACTGTTAGAACTAATTATTATAGAAACGTTGTGGACCACCAGTAGTTTTCGAAGTAGCTGAAATTACAGTATACTTTATTGGGCAATCAAATCCAAACCAAGAAGATAGATGTCCTATTGTAGAAATTGAAATACTTTATGATAACCTTTAAGTTGAATCCGTCACTTAAAACTATTCGAATTTTTACTGTCAGATAAATAAGCAAATGGGTTTTGAGGTTTAACTTACAGTAAGATGCACCTATGCGTTGATAATCACAAATTGCACCTAATCGAACAACGATGAAAACAAAAATCCTAATTATAACAAAACTGAAAATACGCACAAAATCCTAAATCTTTTGGCAACACTTCGGATTGCTAAAAAAACCCAAAGTATAATTCACCATGCCTAAAATGTTCAAATGGTATAAGCAAAGCCAGTATTCCTTACAACAATCGGCCAAATTAAAGCAGATGATAAAATAAAAAAGAATTGTTCAAAAAATTATTCAGATGACACTTCTCATCTATCTGAAAAAACACTGGAAATATATGAAAATGTACATAATTTAACACTGCCCCCACCAGAATTGGAAATATGTGTGACCAGAGCAAGATTAGACAATAGCGTTAATAATTTCTTTAGGGTTCTATGCAAGATTTTGAATTCTTGGGATTAATACCTGAAGATGATGGGATCTGATCTTCAAATTTCTTGTTTTGCTTCTTCTTCGCTTTCTTTTTTGATTTTCCGGAGCAGATGAGCCAACCCATGGCTGCTCTCTCTCTCTCTCTCTCTCTCAAAAAAAAACAGAACAGTGGCACTTTAAATAGAGAGGGGCCGACAAAAGCAGACCAAACACGAGAGAGAGAGAGAGAGAGAGAGAGAGAGAGAGAGAGGGAGAGGAAAGATTAAATTCATATAGGGATTAGGGGCACTCTGCTACAACAACCTTCATGAACCTTTCGCTCATGGGCATTTTGCACCAGTGCCCTTCAAGTCTTGGTATATTTTGAAACAACCCCAAACTTTTCCATATTTCAGATTTCTTAGCCGTTCTTCTTTTGGGTATATGTATGGTTGTTCAAATAATACTAAATGTGTCGTGGTGTTGGTTTGTGGTTGAATATTTGAAATCAACTACTCTCTCTCTCTCATATTATTAGGTTTTAATAGATGCCAACCATGTTAAAACCTTTGCAGATACTTACACCACGTTTTGAACCACAAGTTTTAGAACTCTAAACTAAAATATGGGTATTTTTTTACTTTGAGTTTTTATGAGAAAGCGAATTTCATTTTTTATAACAATAGAAGGGGAATCATCTCTGCCATTTGTGTTTACTTTGGATGATAGTTATGACACAAGCCCTAGGTCAAAATACACCTTGAAACCAGTTAAAAGTATGTGATTATGCTTGCTTTCTTTCTTCAATATTGCATTTGAGTACTTTTATTCACTTCCAATAGTTATCGATGCTCTTTTACATACAAAAATGTAATACTTTTCTAATATAATATTGTAACTTTTTTGGTACATAAATAAAATTTTTCTTATGGTTTGATAAAACTTAAATTCAAAACTAAATGTATCACTAATTGAAGCTTAAAAAAATTATTTGGATGAAGTATGAGTGCAAATTTTCTCAAGGTAAAATGAGAAGGGTGAGGAATTTGAGATTGTTGGGAGAGGAAGATAAATTAATAAACAACAAAAACTATAGGGGGTAAATCATAAATATGAAAGAGCACAATTGTACCGCCCTAAATCCGGGATTTGGGAACAAAGTAGCTGATGGTTTTGTGGATACCAATGCTTTATTTGGGGCTTTTTTAAAAAATTAACCAACGAGGCTTAGTTGATTGGTTTAATCGTCACCGATTTTGTTACCGACAGATCTTAAATTTATAAATTCGAACTTCGTTATCTACTTTTAGTAATAGCGTTGAATATGTTTTGGTTTTGGTTATTAAAGAATAATTATCTCAATCGAATTCCATATATTATTTGAAGTAATCATATTTTTTATAAGTGTTTGGATTCATAATTATAGTATATTATGGGTAATTCGTACTTGAGGGTATGATAAGTGAAAATTAATGAATTAAGAGATAATTCAATGTGAATAATTTTGAGAAAGATTTTTGTGGCCAATAAGAGAGTCTATTTACAACCGTCTAATGAGTTTATTGAAATCTGTCATATTTTATATTATAAATATTATAGCAATATCCTGTAACTAAAATTATTGTACACTGAATAATGACATTGTGCAGGCATTGAAATATGTGTGTTGGAGTGTGTGTGTATGTACAGTTGTATGTTATGAAGTATGTGTTGGGTTTTTGAAATTTGAGGGGAAAAGTGTGTGTTCGATGTATGAAATTTTGGGGGACCCTATTAGTTCAAAAACCTATATAATTTATTATATAGATATATATTTTAAACATATAAATTCACCTCATAATCATACATATCGGTTAAATTAAATTTTTTCCATTACCATCAAGGTTGGAACCTTGACTATGATGAATCAGTCCCACATTGCTTGGTGATGAATATTAATTATTTTATATTTGCTTGTTTTGAATTTTTATTTTACAATGTATTTTGAATCGTTTAATTATATTATACGATATTTTTTAAATTATGTAGTTTAAGTATAAAATAAATAATTTTATATAATACGAATCGAGAACATTAAAACTAGGTGTGGATCACATAGCGATTAAAGCTTTACTCCTTAATCTCACATCATCTAAGACCTCGAGTGGGTGGATATTGCTGACTCAATTCCACACCTCTTTAATAAAATGTGTGTGAAAAAATTAATAAATTTAGACTTTGAATCTCATACTCATTTTGTCTAAATTATTAATTAACTATTTTTGTAATCATTAATTTTTGGTACATTTATGGATCATTGAACCACAATGATTGCATTCCATCATCCAAATCCTCATATTTAGGAATGTCAAAAAATATGGCATAATCTATTAATACGATATGAAATAAAGGGTTTGGGTATTCATTAAATCACCCCTTTTGTAAACGAGTAGGCCCGACACGATATGATAATAAATGAATCAGATACAGGTAAAAATCAATCAAAAAAAATATACGACACGAATTGTTTATATACCAATTATATACGACACGAACTCAATATGATACGACTCGTTAGACACAAATTAATAAACGAATCGGGTATGTGTGGAAGACTTTTCAACAAGAATCTACTAAAGGCCAAACATGAATCCACCTTACCGATCACATTTGTCGGGTCTAATCATATCCTCTGATAAAACTATTGGAGCTTCCTAGCCGTTAGGGTCAGAGTCTCTTGTTTTAGGCTTATTTCTGTTAAGTTGAATAAGTCCTCCCTAAACTTGAGGAACAAGATTGTTTTCTGTTTAATGTAGTCATGCACCACGATTATAGGACCTGTAAAGTCGTGGGTGGTTATTTTTCCTTTCTATCTTATTGTAAGGCTATTTATTAGCCAGAATAGTTGTTAAGTTAATTAAGCATTCTCCCAGCTTTCGTGCAATCAGACTTTGCAAAGCTCTCTGTTATCTCTCTGATTTTAACATCTGGTATCAGAGCCTCCTCACGAGGTCTGATCAAAACTTGTGACTCAGATATTAGAGTGAAGAACCAGAGACATGGCATCCGAGAATAGCTTCGTGCAACCTGCCATTCCAAGGTTTGATGGTCACTATGACCATTGGAGTATGCTGATGGAGAATTTTCTGCGTTCCAAAGAGTATTGGAACTTAATAGAGACAGGGATCACTGCTGCAGCAGAAGGATCAGATCTTAGTGAGACACAGAGGAAGACCTATGAAGATCAGAAGTTGAAAGATCTCAAGGCCAAGAACTATTTGTTCCAAGCCATTGATCGTTCGATACTGGAGACCATTTTGAAGAAGGATACGGCGAAAGATATATGGGATTCTTTGAAGCAAAAGTATCAAGGAACTGCACGTGTCAAACGAGCTCAATTGCAAGCTCTTCGCAAGGAGTTCGAAGTGTTGCATATGAATGTTGCAGAGTCGGTTAATGATTATTTTGGCAGAACTCTCACCATAGCTAACAAGATGCGAACGCATGGGGAATGAATGGATGATGTGGTAATCGTTGAAAAGATATTGAGGTCTATGACTTCAAAATATGATTACGTTGTTTGCTCTATTGAGGAATCCAATGACCTGGACAAAATGTCCATAGACGAGCTTCAGAGCAGCCTCTTGGTGCATGAACAGCGAATCAGCCGACATGTGAACGATGAACAAGCACTTCAGATCACTCATGGTTCCCAGCAAGGAAGAAGAGGTGCAGGCAGAGGCACTTACCGAGGACGAGGAAGAGGAAGGGGTAGGTTTGGGTTCGACAAATCTATCGTAGAGTGCTACAATTGTCATGAACTAGGGCACTTTCAATGGGAATGTCCTAAGCAAGACAAGGAACAAAAAGCGAATTATGCTGAAACAAAGGAGGAGATGCTGTTGATGGCTCTTGTAAATTCCAACGAGACTGCAACGGAGCACATTTGGTTTCTTGACTCTGGGTGTAGTAACCATATGTGTGGAAAGAAAAACATGTTTGTTGATCTTGATAGCAGCTTTCGAGAATCGGTGAAGCTTGGCAATGACTCGAGTATTAGCGTACAAGGCAAGGGTAAGATACGAATGGAGGTAAATGGGTTTGTGCATGTAATCACAGAAGTCTTCTACGTACCAGACCTGAAAAACAACCTGTTGAGCATCGGTCAATTGCAGGAAAAGGGGCTGGCAGTACTTATCCAACATGGAAAATGCAAAATCTTTCACAGTGAGAAAGGTTTAATCATGGAAACAGAGATGACACACAATAGAATGTTTTCTGTGCTTGCTCGTTGCGCACCAAAGGAACAACAATGCTTCTCCTCACTGATCACAGATCAAGCAGACCTTTGGCACTGCCGATATGGACATCTCAGCTGGAATGGGCTCAAAGTGCTTCAACAAAAAAACATGGTGGCAGGGTTACCTCAGTTTAAAGCCTCTCAAAAGGTGTGTGAAAACTGCCTGGTGGGAAGACAGCACCGTGATCCATTTCCTAAAGAAAGCATGTGGAGAGCCTCCAACATTCTTCAGTTGGTGCATGCTGACATATGTGGGCCAATCAAACCTATTTCAAATGGCAAAAAATGGTATCTTATCACCTTCATCGATGACTTCAGCAGAAAGACTTGGGTATACTTCTTGGTGGAGAAGTCAGAAGCTTTTTCCACATTCAAATCTTACAAAGCCAGAGTTGAGAAGGAAACTGGAACATACATACGGAGCCTTAGAACAGATCGTGGGGGAGAATTTACATCACAGGATTTTACCAACTTCTGCAATGAGCATGGAATTCATAGACAATTGACGGCTGCCTATACACCCCAACAGAACGGTGTCGCGGAAAGGAAGAACCGTACCATTATGAATATGGTGCGAAGCATGTTGACAGCAAAGCAAATCCCTAAGACCTTTTGGCCTGAAGCAGTGAATTGGACGGTGCATGTTTTAAATCGATGTCCAACTCTTGCTGTGAAGAACAAAACACCTGAAGAAGCGTGGAGTGGGCACAAGCCATCAGTGGACTATTTTCGAGTTTTTGGATGCATTTCTCACGTCCATGTACCTGACAACAAGAGGGTAAAACTTGATGCCAAGAGTTTCAAATGCATACTATTGGGGGTAAGTGAGGAATCCAAGGCTTATAGATTATTTGATCCACTTTCAA